GTAATGGCATGCTTTTAAAACATCAGTCCAAGCAAAATGAATTTTTATAGTGTTTGTTACTTGTTTAATTTTGTCTAATATCATAGACTTTGAGTATAGGGATGGTGGAATCAGCATTGAAAACGGAGGCCGCATCAAGCACAAGCCTATAGGAGATTTGCTACTGTCCCTCAAATTCACGGTTCCCACCACACATCAGCATGCTGGGGGGAAGTGAAATTCATAGCAATTGTGAAAACTTTCCTTGTTTGAAATAGAATTCCATCTCGTGCATTTGCGCCAATTTTTTCCGCTAATGAATTGTACACGTTTGGATTCCATCCATTTCATCAATTTGTGCCGTCTTATATTACTTTAATTACAATCTACAAACATTAGGACAATATCGTATAATTAATATGTAGTTGACATAGTTTATGTCAACTACATATTAATAAAATTGCAACATTTTGGCTTTATTTATGATAGCTAATAAAAAATTAATTTGACGAAATAATTTGTCTAAATTAATCATACAATTAGCAAACCCACCCCAACTTGTACAAAATTTATGTATTGGAGTAATTTGGAAAATTAATTTTTTGGACTAATTTACTCCTACTTTTTTGGACTAATTTATTCCTAGTTATAAATGACTATTCATTTATAACATAAATGAATAGTCACCCATATTAAAATAATAGAAGTAAATAACAGTTTTTTTTTAAAACAAATAGCTATTTGATCACTTGCTATTATTTTTCTCGAGCTCAACTAGGCTCAAACTCGAGATTAATGTTGAATTCGAGTTTTAACATGAAAGCTGATAGAGCTCAAGATCGTTGTCAAGATTTGCATTGTACCAAAAAGAAATTTTGCACTCCATCTCATGCTATATTATTGATAGAATAAATATTGATCGTATGATAATTTGAAGTTATTTACTTCTATTGCTTGTTGTAAATGACTACTCATTTATGTTATAAATGTCCTTTTTTACACAAATAATATAATGATCACTAGTTATTACTTTTCTTAAGCTCAAGCTCGAGATTAATGTTGAACTCGAGCTTTAGAATGAAAGCTGATGGAGCTCAAGATTCAACAATAATTTAAAAATGAATAAAAAATTAATACATTAATCAAAAAATTCAACATTAATACATCTCATGCTATTTTTTGTAAATTCAACATTAACACATTAATAAAAAATGAATAAAAAATTAGAGTCTTGTAATCCGATATGATTCGATAACCCGTTTACGAATTAATAATAATTTAATAAATATAAAAATTATTTTATCTAACTAAACTAAGTTATATTTTTTTCCAAAGGCATTAATCACTTAATTCTAAATGAATTTATTTAACTTGTGTGAAGTTAAAGTTATTATATTTGGACAAATAATGTATTATATTATTTTTAACTTTTATACTGTTTTAATTTATTTTATATTTCGTTTGGGATAAAATACCTTTACGGTGTTTGATTTATTTTAGATTTGGCTTGGGATATCTATTTAAATTTTTATTACTTGATTGTGTAATTAGTTTTGTGCGAAATTGGCTTTATTGGAAATTACAATGAGAAATTAATAAAATTAAGTTTCGGGCCATTTCGGATCGCCTCGCCAACCAGAAATTTTCGAGTGTGTGTCAAGTATCTTGACCTGTTTCGATTTGGTGGGTCAAGATCAGGTCAGTGGATTTTTTTGTTACACTCAGGTCTCAACCCGACCCGTCACCCCGATTTGGACCTGATTGCCACCCTTAATCATACTGGAAGTCGAGAAAATTGAGTTGATTCAGCTCATTTTGTGGCAATTTTTTTGTTAACGTAATATTAATATAGGTAATCAAAAAATGAACAAAAAAGAATCTGGCAAAAATATAATATATTACGGCTACTTTGTATTTGCTGCTTTAATTTGAAGTATCATAGTTAACAGAACAAAGTAAAGTATAGTGAATTTTTTTTGCAAAAAATATAAAAAATCTAATCATTATAAAGATTTCTATTGTATCAAAAAATTCACTCGGAAGTGCAGTATATAAAGACCTCAAGTGCACATAGTGGTTGCCACTAAGTAGTAACCGCATAAAATCCACCTTAAGAGACTTATATCTTCAGCACAATTCAAGGTCTACCCAAATGGTTGGCGATTCAAATGGCAGGCCAAAAAGGGTCCCCTTCATGGAAACTCTCCCTGATAACTTTCCTGCTTGGAGTGTGGCATGTGTTCAAGAAGATGGTGTAATGAGGCAGGAGACTATTCACAATATCACCGAAAATGTTCTTGGTCTGCCCGTCCATATTGGCCACAAAGGAAAGGTCTGAGGTTCTAATGCTGTCTTGATAAAGTGGTTTTCATATTGATTAGGATAAAAAAGATATTAGTTTCTCAAATCTGTTATTGTTAACATTCTTGCAGGTCCCAGTAGAGTGGTGTGAGACTTTGTTAAGGCAAAACATGGGTCTTCGGCATAAGGTTGTGGAGAAAGGTACAGAGATTTACAAGTTATATAGTAATATCCATTCCTTCGGGCCTTGCCACTCTTCGCATACTGTGGGTGATCCGGGTAGAAGCAGCGGCCATGGTGCAGAATCAGATTGTTCTGCTTCATTGGAAGGAAATGCAAGGACACCATCCTCCAACGAAGTTGGCTTTAACAAATTATTGTTTAAAATTAGTCCCTCAAATACAAGCCATTCTGTCATCAAAAACGGTGTGAAGAGGCAGAAGACTTCAACTGGGACAAAGAAGGCATGACCATACACGGTGGATAGCTATGCATGCAATTAGAAATGGACACAGGAATAAGAAACTGATGCAAATATTCTAATTGCTGGTTCCTTTTGTTTGGGGTGATGATGGGTGGTAGTTTATTCTAAAATATTGGGCTTCACTAGTTTGTTTTGTTAACCACTCACTTGGAATGGGCTATGTATAAGGTGCATGCTTGAAGTAGTAATACGTGTTAATTGTTTTTGAAGTACAGGTTCCATTATGATAAGAATTTGTACTTTTGAACACTTAATGGAATGGTTATTACGTAACTGAAATTTAATCCCGACATTAAAAACATGTGTCAATCTCATACAATTATCCTTTAATATTGTGCTGAAGTTTGAGATCATTAAAGATTAGTAAATATAAATTTTTTATCCATCATATAAGGTAGTAGGATTCCAAACAACCGTCTTTTTATTTATTTTGGACAATCCTGATCCAAACAAAATAAACTGTTAAAGTCCTAATATAAAGTAAATTCTAGTAGTGACAATGATTAAGAAAGGAGTTCAATTCCAAAGCTTAGCGATTGTAAAGAAACAATAGAACACCCTATTCAATGAAACTCTAATGGATCTAGTTGTTTATGACGAGGATATTTTGTGCCTCAACTAACCAAACAAGAAACTAAATCTTGTTAGTCACTACATTTCACAAATGGAGCATAACACGAGGAGTCTTGGAGGAGTAGTCTAATTTGTGAAAGGAATCAAGCAATGTCCATCGGTTATCCAAGTAGATTGTCTTTGTTGGCTATTTGTTGTGTCCAAGGTATAAGGGAAGACATCATATGATCTATCCATCATCTCAGGTATCAAGCAATGTCCATCGGTTATCCAAGCAGATTGTCTTTGCTGGCTATTTGTTGTGTCCAAGGTATAAGGGAAGACATCATATGATATGTCCATCATCTCAGGTATCAAGCAATGTCTATCAGTTATCCAAGCCAGATTGGATTTGCTAGCTATTTGGTGTGTCCAAGGTGTAAGGGAAAATATCGAGATCTGTTGGAAACGCATGTTGGCAAAGAAAAGACAGAAAGTTTTCATTGGCCAAGAAATTTAAAGACCTAGCAATTCCTCGTACATGCAAAGACCACGAATAAATTGTCACAATCATAAACTACTGTGCTTGTCATAGTCTGCTTTGCAAACGCTGGACTGCAGGAGTTCACATGACCATGTGCATTCAATACAGATATTTTGAATCTTGGGTTGTTGGTAATGAAGTCCATGTAAACGTTAAACAGTGACATTATCTTGATTAGCAATTGGATTAAGAATATGTCGTGTGCAAACTGGTATCCTCAAGCCTGGTATGGTGGTTACTTTTGGTCCAATAGGATTGCCAACTGAAGTTAAGTCTCCTGAGATGTAACATGAAGCCTTTCAGGAGGCTCTTCCTGGTGGCAATGTTGGGTTCAACGTTGAGAATGTTGCTGTCAAGGATCTTAAGCCTGGCTATGTTGCCTTCAACCCTAAGGATGACTCTGCCAAGGAAACTTTCAGCTTTACCTCTCAGGTTATCGTCATAAACCATCTTGGCCAGATAGGAAATGGACACTCCCCACCAAGCATATGGATAGGAAATGCATAAGAATGGTGATGCTGGTATGGTTAAGATGATTCCTACCAAGCCCACGGTTGTGGAGACTTTCTCTGAGTACCCACCTCTTGGACGTTTTGCTGTGAGGGACATGCGTCAAACTATTGCTATTGTTGTGGTCAAGAATGTTGACAAGAAGGATCCAACTGGTTCCAAGGTCACCAACGCTGTAGCCAAGAACGGAGCCAAATGAAATGTGTTTATGAGATTACGCTTTGATGAACTAGTTGCTGTTATTTGCTTTAGTTTTTTTTTATTTTGTTTTGGACATCCTAGCAGTTCTCTAGCCTTATTTGTGAGGATAGTGGAGATATCAAGCAATCTGGGTTTGAATCTGGTTTGCTTGATGACAGTGGTGGAGTCCATTTCGAAGCTGTCTATTCTTTTGATTTCTATAGGTTTAAACATATGATGAGTTTTTACTCTTTAGTCAGTAAACAAATTAAATTTCAATGTTTTGTCATTCTTGTGCCTTGAGCTGTGACTTTCAGGTATCGTTTACTAATTGGTGGTTGTTCCTCGAAAAAAAAAAGGTTAAGAATACGTCATAGCAGGTGTTAATATGCTGAAGATAAACCGCGGTTATGCAACGAAAATTTAATTATCATAAAAAATAACACCTCACAAAATATTTATTTATTTTAATCCAAACCGGTGGTTAGCTTAATATCTCATCATAACTTAATTAACCCACATCGAATAAATAAAGATCCCCATACAACAAATGATACACTTAAGGATCCAAATTTGTTTCTTCATTGCAGCCATATCTTTCCGGACACCGTCAACAACCTCCATACACTCAAGTGTGTTGATAAAGGGCTGCTCCGACATAACTATGCTATCTTCAGGCACCACCATTCCACCTTCAGCAACCATTTTCAGAGCATTTGCATACTCATCACACCAACCGATGAATGGAGAGCATTTTCTCTGCATTGTTATCAGCATAAGCAAGCTAAACTCACTTCACAATACCAGAAAAAACTTCTAACAACTCTGTACCTGTGCGTTGGGGCAATCGTAGTAATGTCTGCCGCGATTCGCTGGATTGGTTCTAGCTATTTTTCTCTTACACAATCCCATTCCGCAATTGCATCTTCGGCTTGGCCAGTTCACAAAAGTTACTGATGCTTCAGAGCTTGTGGAGGTCATAGCAAGAAGTGTGGAGGTAGACTTTGGAACCAAGACTATGGAGTTGGGTTTAATAAGAAGCAGGAAATACTTCGCTTGTTTTATATGAATTCCTATGAGGTAGCCCACATATGTCCTAATGTATCTGGTTGCAGTGTCTACATGTGATATGGCCCCATTATCCGAGTCGTTGCCCATTCTTTCTTAGCATCTCAGATTTGATGGGCCAGCTTTGATTATAATAATACTAATCTTATGTATACAAATACCATATTTACAAATTAATGAATCATTTATGATTATGATAATGTTAATCTCAATGTAGACAAATATCATTTTTAACACAAGTAAAGGATCATCTTTTATTATGATAGTGTTAAACAAAATTTCATGAAATCATAATAAATAGACCTCTTTGAGTGTCGGTAAGATTAAGTAAATATTATCAATATTCAAACATCTCGTTTTTCGCTAACTAAATACATTAATATTAATTTACACACAAACGTAAGACTTAGGAACATTTGACCCATTTATTTGAGTAGAGAAAATAAATACGTTACTCTTTATTTTATATTAGTTATAGTTAATCGTCTTGATCAATACAAAATCACCTCCATCTTTCGCTTTTTCCATTTAAGACAAAACAAGAATCAATCCAATAAAAACACAACAACAGAATTTTCTTGGTAAGGCTCTCAGTGAACAAAACATTCCGATCAATACAGACCATTGCCCTCAAAATAAAAATAAAATTTCATGCCAATTACATTAAAACTTATCCAAAAAAAAATCCAATCATTTTCCGTCAAGTATGTAGACTACTTCATGCATGGTAGAATGCCAAGGTTATCTTCACGGACTAACATTCCGATCAATACAGGCCATTGCCCTCAAAATAAAAATAAAATTCCATGCCAATTACATTAAAACTTATCCAAAAAAAACCAATCATTTTCCGTCAAGTATGTAGATTACTTCATGCATGGTAGAACGCCAAGGTTATCTTCACGGACTAAATTAGAAGGATGGACAAACAATTCCAAAGCCAATGAACATCGTTCTTTATCCGACACAAAACTGACAACCATTTCGGCTTCCATTTCCGAGACATGTTTCATGAAATACATAACATATATGCCACAATCATTTCTGCAAAATTGAAGAAAATTAATACCTACAAAAATGACAAATAAAACTATAGGAGACCAATGCAAATCTTATAGGATACTAAATAGGTTTATACCCATCTGGCTGTCGTGGACACCACTGAGGCCTAATGCACGGAAATTTGGATATGTCTTTTTGATAAGCTTTCCCAAGACCATAAGCCAATGCCTCATGGAGCATGTTTCTCTGTACATACACTAACATTAACAGTAAAACAAGCATTTGCATACCCAACTTCTAAAACAATTAGGAAAGTTAATAGTTCTCACCACATGCATCACTGGATATAGTCTATTGAAATTGAACTCCTTAACTGGTAAGCTATCATATATGTGGATTGTTTCATTTTTCATATCAATCACAAATAGATACCAGTGCATGTTCTTCCAATTCATATGAATGCATATCTACACAAGACCAGTTATGGTTAAACAAACGTCTCCCTCCATAAACAAAAATCAAGAAGATGAAGTAAAATCTTTTAAACCTTTGCAACTGCATCTATGTAACCACCAAAGTTCTCCTTTCTTAAGTACCTATTGTACAATACTTCCAGTCGTGGTGGAGATGATTCACTATATTGCTGGGATATACATTTAATTTTTGTATTAGTAAGCAGATTTAGGTATGGGATTATTAGTATAGTAGGTTCTAACAAAATCCCTCACCTGAAACCGTGTTGGCATGTACCATATCTGACTGTGTTCAGTTGGATTATTCTTTCTTGTGTTTATAGTCAATAAAGCAGCATAACAATTGAGTACCTTGTATACCAGCAGCACAGGGGACTCTTTTCTCACCAACAAAAAAAATGTATAAAATTATATGAAAATGAGAAGATAATTACCTCACATTGAAGCCATTCACAAGGGGCTAGAGACCTAAACTCTTTCCTATTAGCATCTTGTCCTAGAGTCGATATTAGCAAAGTACTATAGATATTACTCAACAGCCCAAAAAGTGTTAGTTGTATTCTATTATCAACCGTTACCATCAATAGTTGAAGTTCAAAACAAGTATGACATTATACCTTGAAGGTAGTTTAGCATCTAGCAGATAATCAAGAAGCAAGTTCTTCGACCGAAATGGGAGGCTACACGGATCAATTTCTTTCTTATCCTGCTCACACAAATTACAGCCAATCATGTGTTATTCATAAATAACCAAATAATAACTGACAATTACATAGCTATCAAACCTTGCCATATAGTATCTCCAAATCAATGTTTTGGTTGTCGCCCTTGGTTGTTGGTTTGGATATGGTATTCAACTGTGACCCTAATATCTTAAGATTACTACTGCTGCTAGTTATTTGAACAGGTATCAGGTTCGAGCAGACCTCATCCTCCGCATTCACCAAGCCCAAACACGTCCTGGTTTTGCATTGCCGCTGTGAATCTTGCCTTTTTTATATCCTCTTTGGTGTCTTCTTTTCCACAGCAATGGCACAATTTTTCATTAGATGAAGAGCATACCCATTCCCCTATTTTTGTGATGCACGAGCTTTACATATCTTTTTCAATTTTCGGACCTCTGCTTCCTTTATTCGCAGAGGTGGTGTTTAAGGAGAGCTTACCTTCTTCCTAGTTATACCCCCACTACGAATGATGTTAGCCCATTTGTACTTGTGGCTAGCTTCTCCGATAGGCACATCAGCCATAGGACTCTTACAGTTATTATCCATCCGATTAATTTGTTCCTCTATAGAGTCTAGTCACTCTATAATTCTATCCAAAACCAAAGAATCTAGTGAGCAACATTCATATCGGCTGGTATGTTTTTTTAGGATAACCTCAACTTGCTCGGCATCCTCCTGCGATTTACATCCACCAACATGGTCTTCACTTTCTTCATCGACCAATCTTCCAATAGCTGGTGTGCATTTTTGTTTGTTTGAGCTCTGCCAGCCGCAGCATGCCATCACTTGCTTCTGCTTCATTTTTTTATCATTTGCAAATGACTTGTATGAGATGCAAGATAATATTAGACACCGAAAACCTTTCTTCAACAATCACTGAGAAAGCAGAATCTTTACTATCAGTAAGAAAGCAAGATTGTTTACTAACATTCTTGTACCCTCCATGTTTAATACTCCTCAAGATCGAGGCTCTTCTTCAATTGTCGCCTAAACTGTGATGTGTTTTGTTTTGTTAATTCTTGATAATGCCCACACGGAGTGTTGTTGATATATTTCCTCTGCTGAAGTCTCTGGAGTTTGTCAAAAAGAACCGCTCAATTAAAGCTAAAGTGCTCTTGATATCCCCGAGGTACACTTTATTTTATTGAACAGTGAGTACTCTTCTTTTACCTTTTAACCTGGTGGCCTATTGCTCAATTTTTGGTTGTATTAGTTGATAAGTTTTACTCCTCTATATTTTATTAATTCCCACACCACTGGTACACTTTTGATACTAGACTGTAGAGGCGTCCTAGAATTTTAGAAAAAAGAAATATTATCAAGAAAATTTTCATTTTTCTCTTTTAAACTCATTTTCACTTACAATTTGTAAAGATTTTGTGAAGACTATCATTTTTTTCCAGCATCATTTTTTTTTTCAGCATCAAAAAAGGTAAGTATCATTTTTTTTCCAGCAGCAAAGAAGGCAAGTGTTATTTTTCAAACGTCAGGGGAGGTGGCCTGCAATTGTAGAAACCTCAGTCAAAGAAAAGAAACGGTTTGAGCGCAGACGGCTACAGAGGCCCAGAACAGAAGGGAAGGGGCCTCGCAATTTGCAACACTTATCCATTTCCAACCAGTTCGAGCCTTCGAGGCCATACAGAATTGAGTAGGATTCTTTCTTGGCAAATGGCTCGGTCTGCCGAACTTATTGCCTTCATTCTTTTTCTCTCTTTCTGGATTGTATGCCTATCCTGAGAGGATCAAGTTGAGAGGGAGATGGGGCCTCTGCAAGTCCTTTCCTTTCCAACCTTCCTTTTGCTTTGATCCAAACGGTACCTTAAGATTTTAGCTCTGTGAAGAATGAGGCTATCAGAGAGACTGGGGATTTCTTCAAGGGTGGTTGCCCCTCTCTGATTTTTAGCCTATGATTTCATTTTTTCATCATCGACCATCTGAAACCAACAGCCCTTCAGATGCAATTTTCTACTTATGATTAATCACAAAAACCCCCCTTAAAGTTTTGATACCCAGACCTTTCATGAATAGCAGCATTACTACTACTAGTATTGATTCTGCTCATCTTCTCGAGAAGCCTGCTTGTCTGAAGGCTGTGATGATTCTTTAACTTTCAAAGCAAATGGGTCAGTGGCTTGAGGCAAATCCGACCCGTATCTTGGCTGGGCGACCCGGATGGCATATATGATATGGAGGAGGAGAACATGATCTATCACATTGCAACCGGTGTTGCAGCCATGGCGCTGTCACTTTCTCTTTGCCTGACCTCATTAGATACATCTGAGCCTGAACCTTGATCATTTTTCCCCCTTGATGGCGTCATTTTTTTCTGAAAACAAAAGCAAGTGTTTTTGTTACTTTCAAGAAATTGGGCTCTTTTTTTTTTGGGTTGGGTACACTGAGGAATGAAGTTAAATTAATGCAAAATTGCAGTTTACTCTGCATGAATTCGTTAGTTCTGGTTAGGTAATTCTAAAAGTAAGATGGTTTACGCTTTAGCATTCGGTACCATTGAAGTTACTATTTATCCCTTTTTTTCCTGTTTTTTAGCATCATTATTGTCATGCAGCTGCACACGCATATTTGAACAAGGAAGATTTATTACCAAATGCTTGTACTCGTTAATGTCGATGTTGCTTCTGTCTCCGGATTTGGCTTTGAATGATATATCAGGTCAAAGTGGATTCTTGTCTTTTTTTTTTTTCTTTTTTTTGTCGACACAGAGTGTTCGGAACCATTGGGCCCGACTAATCCCCTGCGGCTGTGAGAGCCCCGTCCCAATGTTCACAGCCCGTTAGCTCTCCCGGGGTCGATCCAGTGACCTGCCCCTAAAGAGGGGATTACGGAAAGTCGGAAACCAGTCAATCTGCCTGGGGGCAAAGTGGATTCTTGTCAAGCAGTAATATTTTGGCTCCACTTTATTAAGCTGTTTGAAAATATGGTATAACCTCAACCATTTTAACCCATGCTCAGTTCTGGGAAATATATAGAATTATATAAAGTGTTGCTGGACTGTGAAAGGAGACATAGGAGGAGGGTAAAAATGAAAAATAAGTTCACAAGAAAATGTGTCGTTTCCCTGGGAATCAGTTGAATTAATTAATATTACATCCAAACTCACAGCTTTGGCTTATGCTGCACTATCATTAAGAATCAAAAAGAACATAATAAATCTGCATGAAATTTGTTCACTATTCAAATACTTGTACATTTTGCTTGCTAGCGTAACTCTGTGCTAGGTTGCTAATTGTCTTCTTACTAGTGTGATTGAACTTTCAGACTGGATAATTACACAACAAACTGGGTCGGGCTTCTTGGAAGCTCATTTGCCCTCGTGGTTAACCGCACCCCAAGTTCCAAGACCGCCTAAGAAACAAAAAAAAAAACACGTCTCAAACCCAATTCATAGGGTTGATGCCTGGGCCACAGAGTGCAGGACAGCAATGGCATGGGGCCTCGCAATTTCTGGCACTTTCCATTTCAGACCAGTTCACAGCTGAACCGAAGCACTTTCCAATCTTTCCCAACTTTTTGTTTAGTTGACTTCTGTAAGTTCTTTTAAGTCCTTTCCTTCCCTCGCTGTTGTCTTCAATCCAAACGGTGCCTTAAGATCTGAGCTCTGTGAAGAATGAGGCTATCAGAGAGGTTGGGATTTCTTCAAGGGTGGTTGCCCCTCTCTGTTTCTTCTTAGCCTATGATTTCTGTTTTGCCATCAGTAAACTAAAATCCAACAGCCCTTCATCTTTCAGCAACAACATTCAGTTCTGGTTATTGAACCCGGGTTCGATACCTCTCATTTAGACAGAAGAAAAAAAAAGGGGTACATTGAACGGTTGAATCCGGATTGTTCACAAATCCTTGAAAGCCCAAATCATGCAATGTAAGGCACGCAGTCCTTGAAGCTTCATCTTACTCACTCAAAATTCGCTCATAAGCTGAAAAAATTAGTGCAATAAAATACCCAACTCTGTCTAATAAGCTTCGCACCATGGCTCCAAGCCTTTGACAGGTAAAGCATCTCAAATTTCCCTGAGCTTCTGCTCTCAGAAAAATCGGATCGGCAAAACGGCCTAGCACTACTGCTACTACTATTATTGAGTTTGCTCACTTTCTCGATAAGCCCGCTTATCTGAAGGCTGTGATGATGATTTTAACATTTTGAGGGGATCCATCCATCTTTCTGGGGTTGGGTCTCTCTCTGTTTTCTATGTCAATGTTTTCCTCACGTCACATTGCAACCGGTTTTGCAGCCATGACGGTGTCATTTTCTCTTTCTGATGCCTTTAATTGTTGCCGTGAATTGGTCTGAAATGGAACTTGTGAGGCCCCGTTTCCCTTTCTGTCACCATTGTTCTGTATTCTCTTGGATGCAATGATGATTTTTCTTAGTTGTGATTTGAGCATGGAGGAAATCGTGGACCCGTATCTTGGTGGTGCAGCCCTGATGGCATGTGAGATGAGAAGAATTTAAAGATGGGTTCTTTCTTCTCTTTCATGCAACTGGGCTTGTGCGCTACGGCGGCGTCTTTCCTTTCATTTTTCCCTGATCAAAATTAAACATCTGAGCCTTCTAAGGTTTATGCTCTGCCAGTGTTTGTGAGCATTCAAAAACCTTGAAATTTTAGCTCTCTGAAGAATGAGGCACCAGAAAGATGGGATTTTTTAAAGGGTGGTTGTCCTCTCTGTTTAGCCTGTGATTTGTTTCGTATGAAAACCAACAGCCCTTTTACAGCCTCGTTTGGTTGGGACTGTGGAATGGGAACTGGAAAGGGAATGCATTTATATAGGGAAAGTGTCTCTATCACAACTTCCCATGCGTTCTTTTTTTGTTTCATATGTTATGACAATTGACAATGATGATGATGATGCATTGAAGGTAGTGTTTATTTAAAGAAAATGAAAGGCTGTGATGATATTTCTTGTGAGAGCAAGTGATATAGGCATTGACGGTGGAATCTGACCCGTATCTTGGCTGGGCAACCTAGATGGCATTTTGGGCGAAAACTCCCTTTCTAACATGCAACTGGTGATTTGCAGCCATGGCGGTGTCATGGCACCAATGCCAGGTTAAGTATGGATCTGAGCCTTGTTTGTGATGTCTACCTGTTTAAGCCATATTTACTGCTATACATCTTTTGGCTTTTCTCGTTTTACTGCTAGCTGTAGTTGGATAGTTATTCCAGGACGTCTGAAGTTTGATTCACAAGTCTGATGATTGATGACTCTGATTGTCAAAAAATACTTCACTATTTCAGCACCGTAACTTGTAATTATCTTCCAATATTCAATGGACAAACATGATAACTTTTTGAAAGCACGCTTGTTTTGTATGTGGAGTGCGTTTAGTTAATTAATTACATCTCATGTAATAACATTCAATTTTTTGAAGTAATCTTACGTGAAGGAGTTTGCATTCCTATGGTTGATTGTAGCTGCTGCTGTGATGTTACGCGATTAGCTTTTACTTGGTTGCTACATACATACGAAGTAAGAATTTTGACCCAAACTTGATTTGAACCTCTCCAATGTTGCCTTGATGTCAAAGTAAAGATCTGAGCCATTTGCTTCAATGTTTTTTTTATTTAGGACGAAAATGTTAATCACATATAAGATTTTCTTAGATGTGGTGATAGCTATTGCTTCTAGAGCTGTTGCTTGTTCTAACCTGCTTATTTGCTGCGAAGTCTGAAAGTATCAGCCTTCTTCTCAAATTTTCTGCTCAAAAAATGAATGAGGCAACAGAGAGAGATTGGGATTTTTGTAAGGGTGGTTGCCCACTCTCTATTTTAGCCAATGATTTCCTCACCCAAATAAACCAACAGCCCTTGTTGTAGCAGGATCATGCTAATCCTTTCTCTGTATCATTTCAATTTCTTACAGTATCCTTCCACTTCAAAATAAGCTGTGGTGAAATGTTTCCAAAGCCAGTATGGTCAGGCATTGAGGTGCTGACCAGTGACCCCTATATATTTTTGGCAACCTGGATGGCAGAATTGGGGTGGGGGGATGAGGTTCATTCTCTTCCCTCTCTCAAATGCAACCGTTATTGTAGGATTATGCATTTACTCATTGTTGAAGCAAGAAAAACTTGCCCCAATTCTCCCTGTACTCCTTATTTTTCTCCACTCCTAAACAACACCAAACTAGGCCTTTCTTAATATATGCCAGCAATAAAAACATGCCTCAAGATGGATATCAATGGTCTTCAGGATAAAGAAGAATGAGGCAGCAGAGGATGGGAATTTGTTAAGGAGGTGGCCCATCTGGATGCCAACAATTTCATTATTCACCATCAGTTAAAGATGGACGGAACTAACAGCCCTGGTAGAAAATAAGGGGATGCCTTATAAAGCAACAGTGTGTCTTCTCCTGTTCAAATAATTGGCTATGATGATGATGTTTTCTTTATCTGTGACATCAAGGTAAAGCTGACCCATGTCTTGGCAGGGCAACCTGAATCATGTGTGAGATGAGAAGGATTCGAAAATGGGTTCTTTCTCACTTGCATGTAATTAGGTTTTTGCAGCCATTGTGGTGTCCTCCTTCCTCTGATCAAAAGAATAGATCTGAGCCAACTTTCTTTACTGTTGCTTATTTTTGGCTTGCTAGTACTGCCTGCTATTATGGATTCGTTGAAATTTCAGCTCTATGAAGAATGAGGCATCGAAGAGATGGGATTTTTTTGAAGGTTGGTTTTCCCTATCTGTTTACACCTGTGATTTCTTTCTTGTCAAATCCCATAGGCCTTTATTTGGTTCCTTAACGAGTAATGGGAGTTGGAAAGTGTCTGTATAAGATCTTTTTTTTTTTTTCTCTATATTTGTTGTTTTCTCTGGTGAGGATATTAATATGTTGATGATGATTTTTGGCATTTTGTTTTTGAAAAAATAAAAGGCTGTGATGATATTTTGTGAGAACAAGTAATTCAGGATTTATGGATGTATGGAACCCGTTTCTTGGCAGCGCAACCTGGATGGCATTTTGGGTCGTGATGAATTGCTTTTTATACGCCCTTTATGACATGCAACTGGTGATTTGCTGCCATGCTGGTCTCACAGCGTCAATGCCTGGTCAAATACGAATCTGAGCCTCATTGTCCACACAGTGTCTTGTCTTGATACGCATGCGTCTTCTGCTCTACTTGTATATTGCAGCGGCTGTGTTTGGATACTTAATTTCATTAGGTTTCGAGTTCAATTCTCTGGTTTGATGACTGATGAGTTTGATTGGTAAAAAGAGAACAATTTTTACCAATGTAAATTGGAATCATCTTTTTATATTTACCAGAAAAACATCTATATGGAACATTAGTGCTGTTTTATTTTAGTAAAATCAGTAGCTGTGAAAAACTTGTGGGAGTGATTTCAATTAATGCCATTGTGTTTGATCTAACATGTCAATACAAAGTTTTTAAGATTTTCTTCTCTCAATGATTTTGCTAGTTCTTGGTTGGCAGTGGGAGCTGCCGTGTTTTGATACTATTTTGTATTATTTTGGTGGTACGTGATAAGTTCTCTATCTACCCCAGACGGTAATGCCTGAAATCAGGTTTTAGCCGGGATCTTTACGTCTTGTTTAAAGCCCAAAAGCTCAGAAAATGGTGATGTCTTCTCTGTATAAGGATATATGCATGCACATATGGTAATTCTGTAAAAAGAGTAATTCCTTTTCCATCTATAGCATCAGCAGCTACCACTCATGTTAAGTTTCAGGTTGCTCTCTCTCGTACCTATCTAACCCCAAACCCCCTCCCTGGCACTTCTGTATTAGCTGTTATGTAATTTTATTTGCTAAAGAGGATAAAGGCTGCCTGTTGGAGGTTCGAATCTTCTCTTTTTTGCAACTTCCGTGTTTGTACACTGCTCAAGATTCTCGAACCTAGGATGACCGTGCACTTCTATCCTCATAACTCTGCTCCACTGGGGCTCAAAGAAGTACGTAGGACTTATGCAGGAATTGGCTACTGAGCGAGTGGGAAAGATCAGATTTTTTTTTTTTTTCCTTAATTGGTCGTGCACGAGCATTTTCCATAAACACGTTGCAAACTTTTCGCTCAAGGTTTATAACCATGTTTTGTCTCACCATGTTTTGTCTTGGTAATTTTAATGTGTTTTTCTTCACTTGATACTAGAAAAAATAAAGGAGAAGGGGAAGAGCGGGAGAGAGATGATTTTGATAGTTTTCTTTGGGGGCAAAACTCTCTGTTAGTTTGTGGGTCGAGAGAAGGGGACAAGTCAGTGATCCTAACAATATATATATATATGAGTTTCCAGTGTTCAGCTGCTACAAATCCAATCACTGGTTCTTTTTCTTTATATCAAGGATGGAACTTGGGCGCCCTTTATCACCACAATTTCATATATTTTTCAATAAGATATATATAAAAAAAAGAGGGAATTATCGAGTGGTATATGCTGAAAGAAAATTCCAGCTTTCATATTCCTCTTCACTCTAGAAAAACCATTGCTTCAAATTTAAACTGTTGTTAACACCTAGATGAAAACACAATTCCGTTAATTTTGCAAGCACTAGAACGTAGTAGCAAAAACTGCACTCGGAGTTCATCGTGTTAAAAAAAGAAAAAAGAAAAAGATAGATAGGAAAATGATAGTTTAAGGGGCGCTTTGCAACCTGAAGAAAGTTGAGGGTGTATCTTACAATTAAACCTGAAAAAATAATTTCTGGGTTAAAGCTCTCAAATGCTTCTTCATTAGTGCGTCTTTCTTGAAAATTATCGGCTCAAAAGCTGAAAGAATGAGGCAAACAGGGAGAGAGTGGGATTTCTGTAAAGGGTGGTTGCCCCCTCTCTGTTTTAAGCCTATGATTTCAAACGCAAGCAAACCAACAGCCCTTTGATTTAGCAGACTGCAGAAATAATTCTTGTACTTCCATTGAGGTTTCTGACAATTTCACTTTGCACCCCCAACATGCTGAACGCTTACTACCTCCTCCTGCTGTGGATCATGCTAAATGGCTGTCCTGTATTTACCATGAAAAGAGGCTGTGATGATTTTATTTATTCGCAGAGCCGAGTTGGGTCAGGCAATTCAGCAAAATTGACCCGTATCTTGGCGGGGCAACCCCGGATGGCAGAATTGTTGGTACCAACCCTGACATGCAACCGGTGCTGCAGCCATGGCGGTGTCAAAGTCTTTTGCCTGACCTTGATATTGGTAATATCTGAGCCTCCTCTGGATTTGTTTGCTGCCTTTTAGACCTTGTTAAACGCTTTGAGTTTGGAAATTGTATAGGGTTCGTGTCTTTCTTGGATTCCCTGTTTGTTTAATTTTTTTATTTTTTATTTTTTAAAAAAAAGAGTATGTAAATGAGGGTGGTTGCCCCTCTCTGAATGCCAATGATTTTACCCTTCACCACCTGTTAAAGATGGAAGAAAAAACCACAGCCTTTACGGACTTTGAGGAATGGATCCTGTTCCGCGAAGAGAAACCATTGGGGATGTGATGGTACGGGTTCTTTGATTGTAGATTCTTAGCTTAGCTGAGTCGCCTCCCCAGTCCAAGTTTAGAAACGCAGGTCTTTGCTGCAATGGCGGTAATTAATGGTTTTGAGCTGTTTTTATCTAAGTTCTTGATTAGATGAGGGTAAATCTCTCATCTTTAGCTTTGCCATCGTTGAAATTTCAGCTCTCAGAAGAATGAGCCTGCAGAGATATGGAATTTCTTAAGGGTGCTTGCTCCTCTCTGTTTGGCCTATGATTTCGTTGTTCTAGAACAGCCCTTAAACAGCCTTGTTTTGTTCAGACTACAGTTGTTAGAATCCCAGTCCGGATCTCAGGATCCTTTGGATTGAGAAGATTTGAAATAAAATAATTTGTTTCACAAATTCCGATCACCTTTTTATCTTCCCAATCATCTTTTTATTTCACATACATCACATCATAAAAAGTGCTACAGTAATTATCTCAATAAATCATCCAAATAAACTCCTATCTAAACAAACTCAGTCTACAAGACCTATCCAGGTTGTAGATAGGTTCACTGTTCTTTTCTATAATAAGCTGTGCACATGCATGTCTTGGATAAATGCTTTTACATTTCATGATGTAATCATGGATTACCATCCTAACCATCAAAGTAGTTGATCCATCTTTTTAATTAGCCAATGCCAAAAGGTAAACTGATGCATTAGCTAGTCGATAAACTTATGACAAAGCTACATTGTGAGTTGAAAATTATAAGCTCAGGTCAAAGGACTTTGACCTTTCTGAATTGATCATATAATTCTTCATTAACCATTAGCCTAAATTGAATTAATAAGTTAATTACGTTTTCATAGGATTGAGATCCTTAGGTCCAATTCTATGAACTCAAGAACGATTCTTTCTAGAATCTGATTTTAAAACCCTTGGACCCTACCGGGCACTTGAAGTTGGAAAGCTTTAAAGCAGGGAGTATCTCTGTATGAAAACCTTTCTTCTGTTGTTTTAGTGTCCTTTATGATGATGATAGTGGTGGTGGTGGTGATGATGATGATCAGGTTGATATCGTTGCAATTGGTTCAAAGAAAAGGGAAGGCTGTGATGATGTTTCTTGAGAGCTAGTGGATCAGGCATTGATGTTTATAAGCTGTCCCATATCTTGGCGAAGCAACTAGATGGCACATTTGGGTCGTGATGAATGCTTTCACACTCCCTTTTTGGTTGCAACTGGTAATATGCAGCCATGGCAGTGTCACAACACCAATGCCAGGTCCATTTAGATCTGAGCCTTATTCTCTGGTCAGTTTCAAAAGTTTGCCTTTGATGGTTCAATGATATATATATATATATATATATGGTGAGGATGATGATTGTGATTATGGTGATTTAAACGCAAACGGTTTGATAAAAAATGAAACACTGGTGTGATATATTGTGAGATGAACTGAATCGCTTGTGGATGGGGTACAATCCAGCTTGGAACTTGGCAGGGCAACCTAGACAGCAAATTTGGGTTGTTATGAAATGCTTTTTATGTTCCCTTTTTAGTTGCAACTGGATGTTTTCAGCCATGGTGATTTCGCGACCTCGCTACTATAACCAATCAGTTGCGTCCCCTCTTCTTCAATGGTGGAAGAGTTGCAACAACAGGGAAAGAGATTGCTATTCCTTGAGGTGTGGTTGAAAGTAGTTTTACGAGGTGGCTGAATTTCGTTCTGTTGGTTTCCCTAAACTCTTTGGCGGCAACTTCTTTGTGCAATTATCCTGCACCAGTGGTATTCTCACGCTAGGAAGCTTATATATGAGGTGCAACAACACTGAAAGAGATCACCATCCAAGTTCCGGTGAGGTATGATTTGAAGCAGTTGTACGAGGTGTTCGAGTTTTATTCTGTTGGTCTTCTGAACTCTTTTGCAACTTCTGTGGGCAATTACCCTAAACGAGCAGTATTTTCTCATCAAGATTTTTGTCAGTGGAAGGTTCAAGTTGTGCTATACAATAAAATCTTTTGGAAATCAGCAAAGAGCTTTGTGAATGCTTTGCTTTGCTTTTGTCAGGCTAGAAGGCATTATTATAAACAGATAGCTCTTGCATGTCTTGAGCCACTTCTTTAAGGATGTTTTTGTCAGGTCGGAGCTTTGTCAGAATTGTATACGGAATGAAAACTTTTAGTGGCCTTTTATGATTTTCATAAATCTAAGGCAGATTAGTCTCTTTATGGATTTCGGAAGCAAATCAAAATATATTCTGTATATAATGCCTTTCAATTTTCTACTGCACTGAAAAATATCTATCCGAACGTTTTGTTTTACGCCATGTAGCAACACTGCACGTCAAAGATCGAGGATGTTTCTATGTTCAAAGATCAATCTATCCAATCGTTTTCTACTGCAATATGGCTGCACGTCAAACCTTGGATAGTAAAGGAAAGTATTGAAACTCGATTTTGAACAATTATAATTAGCCAGTGTGACTGGTGAGCTGCAAGCCCAAGATCATTCTGCTCTGCAAAATTCGCGAACTTCTGCCCTTTTCTTTTTGGCTGATCATGGAGATGCAACCCGTTAAAAGAGAAGGGTTTTTCGGGGTTAATTATTACCTTCCGTCCTGGAAGAAATGGAGGATTCTTGTACCCTATTTGCAATGCTTATCGTACTCTCCACACCATGTGATTGAATGAATATGAGGATAAAAGGTCCGATTGGAATAAACTATCAGGTCCAATTGCGTTGAATCAACATCCGCTCAATTTTGCATGATACAATTACGACAACGAAACCTTTGGCTTCACTCTCACGAGCTAATCAACAGCTTTTTCAAGAATGGAATTAGAACTTTGGCCTTTGCTAACGTTACTGACACTAAATAATGTAAAACTGCCATGTATAAATGTACAGAAGATTTTTTTATTTTTTATTTTTTGAAATGTCACAAGGAGGGTGAAATGCTAAAC